TGCCGCCGCGGGCCCCGCTGACTCACTCCGCTGAGCTCGGGGTTGGCACCCGGGTTTGTGCCACGCTCCGAAACAAGCGGCCCCAAAGTGAGTCCTCTGGCGCTGGCGGCTTCCCGTCACCCTCCGCCCTGGACGCTCTCGGCCCCGGGCCTGGCTCAGCCCCGGGGACTGCCCCTCCCCTCCGCGGCTGGCTGAGCACCGGCACCTCGGGGACGCGGGTGAGCGCCACGTCCCGGCGCCCCGGCCCCTCGGCACGCCCCGACCCCGCTCGGGTCCTCGCGTCAGGCTCCCGACGCCGGAAAGGACTTCTGGTTCGCGGAGAGGAACTGCGGGAGCGCCAAGCGGAGGACGACGGTCAGACGGAGCGCGGGGCTCACGCCATGGGGAGAGGGCTACACCTCTACTGCAATCAGTACGGTTCCTGGCCAGTACGCGTGTAGCAAACATTAAAATTAAAAATGCTAGGGGCTAGGGGGACGACAATCAGGGCTTCGCCAAGTGACTTTTTAAAGAGGATGGTTGGTGCCTTGGTGCCAAGAAAGGACACAGGAGGTTGGTTATTAAAGCGAAGGGAAGAACGTGCACAAACCACTGAAGGAGGATCTAACAGGGACAACAGGCGGGTTTGGAGTGAGATGGAAGGGCTGGGAAACTGGTGAAAATTTTGACTAACCAGCCAGGTGAGTCACTAGAGGGCCCAGTGAGATGAGCATCACTGAAGACCCAGTGGAGTCTAGAAGCCATTCATGTACAATGAGCTCCAGCTATACTTGTGCAAGGTATCTATAGGTCGACATATAAATACTGATATTGTGATAAAACCAGACTTCGCTGATTAAGTAGAAGGATGAGTGTGAGGAAGTTAAGGGCACTGAAAGAATGTGACGATGGTGACGCACCAGGGGCCTAGTCCCCAGAAGAAAGGAAGGGAGAGGAGCAGGGAGCAGGTAGACTAGAACTAAGAAAACAGATGGGGACTTCCCTGGTGGTCCAGTGGTTAAGACTCCACGTTTTCAATGCAGGGGGCAGGGGTTTGATCCCTGTTTGGGGAACTGAAATCCCACATGCACCACAGCGCTGCCAAAAAAAAAAAAAAAGAGACCAAAAGATGAGGGCCTGTGGGGATGAAGGGACTGAGGAGTTGTCACCAGACTCTGGGTGTCAGCGATGTCAAAGGGGAAGAAATTCCAGGAGATGATCCAGTTTAGGGTCTGACCCTGAAATGAAGTCAAGTGAGATGGGCGTCACTGGAATTGGGCCTAGGGCTCACCAGGCCAGTGTGGGGGACATTGAGGACCCCCAGAAGGATGTCAACAATTGGAGGAGTCAGTCGAGGCCAAGGAACCAAATCTTTGGTGAACGTGGAGGAGCAATGAGGAAGCTAGTAGGTAACAGCAACAAGGAAGGTAGAGGGATGCATTGGCAAAATTCAATTTTTTTCTTTTTTTAAAGGAGGAAACACCTTATAAAAAGGCAGGAAGCACAGAGGACTTTGTTGTAAAACAAGTCTTCCAGAGGACCCAGCACAAAGGATGCTTGTGAAACAGGTTCACACTGATGGTAAAACTTAATGCCACATATGTAAGGCTTCCTTCTACATTTCAGTATTTCATTTCCTTTTCACAACCAGGACAGTTGTTAAGATCCCCTTTTTTAATCTGCAGAATCTGAGGCTTAGAGATGTAAAATACCCTGACCAAAAAGTCTGTCCCCAAAGCCGGACTCTTCATCACAGGATATAAGGACTCATCTTAATTCTATTAACCTATGAGGCCAACAGATGATGGATACTCTGTGAATACAAAGGGATTATTATAACTACGGTATCATTAATCCAAAATGGGAAAAGATTTGAGGAGAAAAACAAATTTGATGAGACGAGTAAGACTGACTGACTTGTGTGGAATCAGAGTGTATCTTCCCTCACCAGGTGCTTATATAGCATTGGGGATTAAAAAATTTTTTTTTAATAAGAAAAGGAATTCCCTGGCAGTTCAGTGGTTAAGACGCCACACTTCCACTGCAGGGGACACAGGCTCAATCCCTGGTCAACCAAGATCCCACCAGCCGCATGGCAAAAAAAAGAAAAATCTGTTATTAAGTTGACTGCTCATGTTCTTTTTTTTTTCATGTTCTTTTATAATCTTTTATTTTGAAAAATTCTACCCTTCAGGACAGTTGTAACAGAATGTGTGGCATTTGCTTCAAATTAACACAGGATAGGGGGAAATAGGTGGGGATACAGATGATACAAATCTGGCCAGGGATTGATGACTGTTGAAGCTCAACTTTTAGGTTGGTTTTCTATATATTTAATTTTCCCACAATAACATGTAAACTCCAACTCTTTTAAACACATACACACAATAAAATTAGCACAATTTACAAATTAATAATCCATATGTTCATCACACATGAATGGGTAAATAAAATGTGGAGTATACACACAATGGAATACTACTGTCTTTTTCAAGATAGCTTTTTTTCATCATATTCAATGATTTCAATATTTAGATTTCACATATAAGTGATGACATACAGTATTTGTCTTTCCACATCTGGTTTATTTCAGTAAGCACAATATCCTCCAGGTCCATCCATGTTGCTCAGCAAAATTCCATTCTTTTTTATGGCCAAGTAGTATTCTCGTGTGTGTGTTTGTGTGTGTGTGTGTGTGTATACATGTATACATACCACATCTTTATTCATTCATGTGTTGATGGACACAGGTTGCTGCCATACCCTGGCAATTGTAAACAATACTGCCATGAACACTGGGCTGCATGTATCTTTTTGAATTACTGTTTTCCTTTTCTTTGGATATATACCCAGGAAAGGAATTGCAGGATCACATGGTAGTTCTATTTTTAGTTTTTTGAGGAACCTCCATACTGTTTTCCACAGTGGCTTCACCAATATACATTCCCAACAACAGTGTACAAGCATTCCCTTTTCTCCACATCCTCACCAACATTTGTTATTTGTGGTCATTTTGATAATAGCCATTCTGACACGTGTGAGTTGATATCTCATTGTGATTTTGATTTACATTTCTCTGATAATTAGAGACATTGAGTATTTTTTCATATGCCTGTTGGCCATCTGTATGTCTTCTTTGGAAAAATGTCTATTCAAGTCTTCTGCCTATTTTTTAATCAGGTTGTGTGTTTATTTTTGATATTGAGTTGTATAAGCTCTTTTTGTATTTTGGATATTAACCACTTATCAGTCATGTCCCTTGCAAATATATTCTCCCATTCAGTAGGTTGTCTTTTCATCTTGTAGATGGTTTTCTTTGCTGTACAAAAGCTTTTAATTAGGTCCTATTTGTTTATTTTTGCTTTTGTTTCCTTTGCCTTAGGAGACAGATAAAAAAAAATATTGCTACAATTTATATCAAGGAGTGTTTGAAGTAGCCTTTTAAGCCAGGCTATTAAGGAAGTTCTAACACATGCTACAACATGGATGAACCTCAGGGACATTTGCTCAATGAAATGAACCAGTCACAAAGACAGTTGTGGTATAATTCCACTTATATGAAGTTCCTGGAGTAATCAAAAATCAGAGACAGAAAGTAACTTTGTTGCCAGGGACTAGGGGAAAGGGAGATAGGGTCGTTGTTTAGTGGGTAAAGAATTTCAGTTTTGCAACAGAAAAAGAATTGTGCAGGCTGGTTCCACAACAATGTGTATGTAGTTAGTACTATTTAATTGTACACTTAAAAACTGGTTACAGTGGTAAATTTTATGTTTATCTACCACAAGTAGGGGCTTCCCTGGTGATTCAGTGGTAAAGCATCTGCCTGCCAATGCAGGGAACGTAGGTTTGATCCCTGGGTCAATAAGATCCCCTGAAGAAAGAAGTGGCAACCCACTCGACTATTCTTGCCTGGGAATCGCGTGGACAGAGGAGCCTGGCGGGCTACAGTCCATGGGGTTGCAAAACAGCTGGACACAACTTAGTGACTAAAAGAACAACCACAATAAGAATTTTTTGAACTTAAGTTTCTTAATCTCATGAACAGTGCCCACATATCCAATTCTTACAACGTCAAAAAGTTTTCCCCATTGTGTTTGAGGATCTAAATAAAACCCACAAGTTGCCATGGGTCCTTTCTTAAGCCATTCTTAATCTATAGAGTCCCCTTTCCCTTTTCCTTACAATTTATTTGAAAAAAACGAGGTCGTCTGCCTGTAGTTTCTCACAGCCTAGATTCTGCTCCTTATATCCTGACGTGTCCTACAATAGTTTCCTCCATCTTGAGCTAGGTTTGATGGGGACTCGGGAAGAGCTTAGGGCTTCCCTGATATTTCAGTTGGTAGAATTCGCCTGTAATGAATGATACCCAAGTTCGATTCCTGGGTCGGAATGATCCACTCCAGTACTCTTGGGCTCCCCTTGTGGCTAGGCTGGTAAAGAATCCGCCTGCAAAGCGGGAGACCTGGGTTTGATCCCCTGAGAGAAAGGAACGGTTACCCATTTCAGTATTCAGGCCTGGAGAATTCCATGGACTATATAGTCCATGGGGTCGTGAACAGTCAGACACGACTACGCGGCTTTCACTCACTCACTCAGGAAGAGCTTAAAAATATCCATTTTCAAGGGGCCAGCCCAGCTGAACCTGAAAAGGCGAGGCTAAGTCACCAGCCAAGCTGCTCTGAGTGACAAAGACGCTGTTTACTACCCTACATCAGGAAACTACAAAATTCCGGGGGCGGAGGAAAAGGGGCGGGGTTGGGAGACGTGGGGAAAACCCTTTGTCTCGTTTCCACGCGCGTAATCGAGTTACGAAATAAGGGGAGGGCGGGGCCTTTGTCCGGAAGTGACGCCAGCGCGGCCAGTGGCGGAGTTGCCGTGGAGGCGGGGTGACGCACGGAGCCGCGGCTCCGTGTCGCCCTTCCTGCTATCTTCCTGGGAGATATTTCTTGTGGAATTGAGAGTAGGCGACACCCTCAAGGGTCTCCGGTGACCCGGACCGCGGTGGCGGCCCCACTGACGGGATGTTCCGTGGTTTGAGCAGTTGGTTTGGCTTGGAGCAGCCGGCGACGGGTGGCCGGCAGTCCCAGGGAGACGGACAGCCCATGGGACACTCTCCACCCGATCAGCGCTCCGAGGCGGTGGCGGAGTCAGCGGAGGGGGAGCCACAGCTAGCTACGAACCAGGAGCTCCTTCATCAGGCCAAGGGCCTAGGCAGTGAGTCTCCCCCGGGACCGCAGGGTTTCGGGGAGCGCCCGCATCCCTCCTGCCGCCCCTGGGTGTGGACCACCAATGGTCCGGAGTGTGGGGTGGGGAGAGGAAGGTGTCTCTGTCGATCGGTCGGTCCTCACAGGACCGGAGAGGTTGGTGAGGATCTTGGCAAGACCGAAACCTCATCTAGTAGTCAAACCCTGTGCCTGAAGTCCCTAGTGGCTAGTGACATGTCACTCTGCAGTGTGTCAACACTGAGAGCGGAGGCGCAATAAAGCAATGGGGCCCGACATCTTTAGGTTTGACGGGGAATCTTTTTTATTAAACTCGCCAACTTTCACCTCCACGGCCTCCCAGCCATAGAGGACAGGGAACGTTGAGGACCTTTTTGCCCTTAAATCAGAATGTGTCGTCCCAGTTAAATTGAGGAAGAGTTGCTAAAGGCCTGTGACAAGTAGGTTCTGTCCTTTTAGGTGCAGCTGAACCTTTTTCCTTAAGGCGGGAAAGTAATTAATTGCCAACTATTGTCTGTATTCCAAGTTTCAGCACTAGATGCTTTGTGAACGGATGCCTCATCTGTTAAAACATCCCAGTGAGTTGGGAGAACGAGCTCAGAGTTAGTGACCCAAAGTTAGGCTGATATGTAAATGGTTGAAGTGAAATTTGAATCTGGGACTATCTAATTTCAAAACCCATGCTCTCTCCCAGCTTACAGTCTAATTCAGGAGGAGGGTATAAGTAATAAACATGTAAAATAAACACAAGCTGTAGTAATTCTGCTCCTGGAAAGACCTTGTCAGGCTTAAATAATCAAACCGTCTTTGAGAAGGTGGCCCTAAAGCAGACAACACTACAAGTGAGAGATATGAAATTTAGCAAACAGTTTTAAAGGATTTAGTTCAAGATACTGAAAGGCAAGAGCATAGGGCAGGCTGGAGCCGGAGAGTGGAGAAACACATATTTGAATAGGAAAGGCTCTAACGTTAAAAAAGTTTACTGTGGGGTGGAGAGGCAGGGAGAACAGGCATCATCTCACATTGTGGCTGTACACAATCTCAGCCCCAAGCCTCTAAACAGTGTACAAGAAAAATAAAACTAAGTGCTGTGCAATGAAATCACTGAAGAGGGAACAACTATTTCCTCTGTGGAAGATTGGGGAAGAAATGAGCTTGGAATATTTGAGAGATGTGAGAAGATGAATTTGACTAGAGCAATTTGCCTCTCAGCTATGTTAGGTAGCTGGGATAAATAAAAGTGGGACCATGTTAGGAAAGGCTGTGTATGTTTGTTTCCTTGATTTCACAGAACATAGAAAAGCATTTTCGTTTATCTTCAGAAGAGTATCAAAAGTGACTTCTTAAAACTCAGGGCTTTATTGAAGCTTCATGTTTATATTTAGTAATAAAGACTTCCAAATATTTTTAGTAAGTATGTTTTCAGTATGAAAACTTTGAAACCAAATACTGCCATCTCTTTCTTTCCTCACCAGACTTTCTTTAGGTTTAGGAGGCTAAGGTTAGATGAAGGACTTCCCTGCCCACACACACATTGTGAATGCAAAGTTTCCAAATAAATTAGAGCTCATTTGGCTCTGAAGTTTGTTTGTTTGTTTATTTTTTGGCCAAGCCACGCGGCATTGTGGGATCTTACTTCCCTGACCTAGGATAGACCACAGCAGGGATCTTAACCACTGGACCACCAAGGAAGTCATTTGATTTTAAAAAGATGTAAAGGTCCTAGTTTGTACACAACCCCTCAAAAAGATGAGAGACAATCAAATATTTTTTATTTTACATAGTGATCCTAAGACGTATATTCTTTAAAAAAAAAAATCTTTGTTTTGAAAACTTTAAACATCTCTGTGCCTGATTCCCACTGAGTAGATTAGTTTCTTTGGGGCACCAGCTTGCCATTTAGAGGCAGGTAGCCTGTGTTTGTGTTCCTTGTACTTCTTACTACCTTTATTGTGATGTCATTTGCAAATCATAGTAAGTCCAACAAACAGGCTTTTGACAGAGAGGACAAAGACCACCCCCAGGTTTCATGAGCACCCACTGAAATTGTAGTTTCTTTGGCAAGGAGGAAGAGGATAGCCTATTGGCTAGGCAACAAGGTCTTCCCCATCTTCATGGACAAATCATTTATCCTCTGTGCCTCAGCTTTCCTATCTGTAAACTAGGCTAATTATACCTACTCTTCCTGGGATGCTTGTGACATGATGAAAATGAAGATAAGATATTAGCGATCTGCCCCCTCCTTCCAGAAAGTTGCTATGTCTATTCACTTGCAGACATTTTACTTAGACTGTCTTTTCTTTGGTCACTGCTTCAGTTCAGATCCCCTCCTCCTAAGTCCCTGAAGTGGACTTTGTACTCCTATTACTTCCTGTTAACTCTTATCTGCATCTCAATTTTTCTGTCTTTAACTTGGTGTCAGCCAGTCTCTGCACAATTCCAGACTTCTCGTCTTTATGAGCATCTCTCCTGAGAATCTCTTGCCCTGTCTCCCACTGCCCCCTCCTTCTGACTTAGGAATCCAGGCCTCTCAGTAATTAACTCTTGGGAGATATCCCTCCCTTTTGGAGAGCCTCTGTTTAATGAATAATCTCGCTCCTCTTGTTGTCTTTCAATCTTTCTTTGTTGGTTTATTTGTTTATCAATGGACATACTTTGAGGGCAAGAACTGTGCATTCTCGGAACTTCCCTGGCAGTCCAGTGGTTAAGACTCTGCATTTCTAATGCAAGGGGTATGGGTTTCATCCCTGGTCAGGGAACAAAGATTAAAAAAAAAGCCCAAAATGACAAGTCTATCAATAATTCAAAAGGTATTCCTGAGAAAATCTTAGAGGGAACCCTGCTCTTTTAGAAGTTTGGATTTGTCTATCTGCAGAGAATATTTTTACAAAGTAATGTGGCTGTATTCTCATTTTATCATACTACTATGGGTAAATAAGCTAGTCATAGCCAAAAGGAAATCAGGGATCTCCCTAAAGCTCAGCATTTAGTCACTCCCCATTCATGCACTCAGCAAGTACTTACTGGTCACTTTCTGGGGATACACTGAGTCAGCCAGCCTCGGTCCCTACCCCAGTGGGGCTTAGGATGGGTCTTGAGTCTAGCTGAGAGGACACATTCACCACGTAATGGATATAGTGTCATGGATATTGTTGATCTGGCACCACAGGTAGTGAGGGAACACCTCTTGGGGACACCTATGCTGGCCAAGGAGCCGGCATCCATTTGCTGAGAAGTGATGTGTAAGTGGAGGTTCACAGGATGTGTAGCGTTAGCTGGGTAAAGAGAGGGTGACCAATAAAAGTGTTTCAAACCAAGAAATGACGTATTTGGGGCTTCCTTGGCGATCCTGAAGAATTTCTTGTGGTCATGTGAAGGGGGAGAATGGTGAGAGAGAAAGAGACAGGGGCAAGGAGTGACCTGAGGTATAGTCACAGTGGATGTTAATACCAGGAACAGATGAACACCCCCAGACACAGTGGGGAAGGGAGACTGTTGAGTGGTAAAGGAGGCGGTAAGTGGGCGAGATGTCACTTGATTTTCCATGGTACCAGCCACAGAGTGAGGATTTAATCAGGTGTGCTGAGCTCCCTGGGGTGTTCTTACCAGGGTCTTCTCCCTGCTGGTGGTGTGAGTCAGCCCACCTGCCCTCTCAGCAGGTGTGTGTCACAGAGGAAGACCGCCCTAGATTTTGGAGCATTTTCTGTGAGATGAAATTTGAAAGCCAGTTGCCTGGGAGCGTCCTCCACCATGACCTTCCTGAGGTCGCTTCCTGCAGCCCAAATTCTGTAGAATAAGAACTTCAAAATGTTATTTATCTACAAGTACACCTTTACATCGTAGTGCAAAAAGAGCCCTGATAACAAATGTGTTTTCAGGGCTTTAGAAAAGTTAATTTTGTGTTTTCGTTTTGTCTTGTGAAGTTTGTATATTCCAATTTGAATTTCATTCCACATATTTGCTCATTATATTAATGAAGAATATTTACATTAGGGCTTGCCAAGGTTTCTATTTATTAAAAACTCCCCCAGATTTATCATGGGATGAGTTAATCTAGGAGAGGAGGGGCTTTTTTCTTCTTTTTTTGAACAAGAGGAAAGGAGAAAATTAAGATGGGATACTTAAGGTCTAGAAAAGAAAGAAAGTAAGAAGGAGCCTTGATCTTATTGTAAAGTAGGAGAGGAGATTACTTGCTGAGATAAATTAGAACTAGAGGCTGGAGAAGGGCAAGATAATTTTGAAACAGCTACTGGGGTGAACTGAGGAGCATGCTAACAGTCTTTGAAAGCAGTGAACTAAAGGCCCAGTGTGGATGGCCTGTCCGCTGAGAAAGTGGCGTACTATTGGTGCTTCTCACTCCTTAAGTTTTAAGTCCTAATTAACAAGAAATGTGTCCTGTGGTTTTAGTCTTACAAGCACTCTTTAGGGAGAAATTTACAAATATAATAGCCATCATACTTGAATGGAGCATAGACTTTTTTTTATTCTTTACAGACTATCTGTTTAACTTTGCAACCGCTGCTACAAAAAAAATAACTGAATCAGTTGCTGAAACAGCACAAACAATAAAGAAATCAGTAGAAGAAGGAAAGATAGATGACATCATTGATAAGGTATACTTAAATATCTTTTGGAAATATAAGTTTATGAAATTCATTAGCAGCTAATGTAATCATCCCTTTTTATGAACTTTATTAATCCAAATAGGGTATCATATTCTGATAAAAATGTTCAGATTCTTGTTTTTTTCTCTCTCACCTCTCCTTTTTGTATAATAAGTAACTATAAGTTACCTGATTTGAATAACCTTTGTTTTTATTTTAATATATTCTAAAATACATTGATGCTTTTGGGTAATACTAAGCTTTTCATATTGTGAGTTTAATTTTCAACCATAACCATTTCAGAATACATTTATGCCTTTGAATCATTTGAGTTCATTCAGTTGAATCTTTTTAAAAGTCCTGGACCAATAGGAACAACCCTTTTAAGACTCTAGGGAGTGAATTTGTTCATTTTTTGCAGTGGTAGGATACAGGCCTAGGGAATGTCATTTCTGTTGGTAACTGTTTGAACTAAGGAGGTCATCAATCAAACTTAAGACAGCTTGTTATTTAGATATTTTCATTGTGTGTACTATTTGTTAGAATGAGATTTGACTTGTCTTTTATTGTTTTATAGAATAACATAAAAATTCTGTCTTTAACTCCTTTTATTTTTGCATTTGAAAAGATCGTCTATCATAAAGGCAGTTGAACACTTAGAGTTCAGAAATGTTGAAGATTCCCTCTTATTGGGGAAGGGAAGACATACCACTTTTTGTCTCATTATTTGAAGAAAATGAATGAAATGTCCCAAATGAACTTCACAAATCTCGAGTGTGTTTCTTATCTAATAAGCTTTTTAAAAGTAATGTAACTCTATGTATTTTTTAACAGACAATTATAGGAGATTTTCATAAGGAACAGAAAAAATTTGTTGAGGAGCAGAATACAAAAAAGTCAGGTATGGTATAGGTTTATACGTGACTTACTTGCCTACCAAATTTTACTGAACACTGGTTATGTGCTTGACATCCCACTAAGGCTATGAGATTACAAAAATGTCCAAGTTAGGCCCCCATCTTTCAGGTAGCATAAGGATCAATAGGGACAAACCTTCAGGACTTGAAGGAAATCTCTCCCCGTGGCTAGGATGTGGGTGAGATAGCCCTTCTGGGGAGCTGGCTCTGAAGGAGAGAGAGTGGGCTTTTCTTTTTTACTTTCTCACATGTCCAGCAGAGTCTCTGATGTATACCTAGCGGGCACTTAGCAAATGTTGGCTCCCTTCCTGAAAAAAAGGAAGGGCTTTCCAGGGAAGTGACAGACGGCTGTGAAAAATCACAGGGTGTTGGAGAACTTACCCAACACATTTCTTTACTGACAAATGTTTGTTTAAATGTTTGCAGTTGCAAGATCTCAAAATGCCTGCTTTTACTGTTTGGTGGTTTTCAAACACAAAACTGACCTCATATCTTTGAATTTGGCAAAAGTAGTGTAAAATACTTCAGTTGGTTTGAGCAGTACCACAAATTCAAAAACAACTAATTAGTCCTGTGCTGAGTTCCCGTCAGGCATTGTTGCCCCTAGGTACCCAAAACTGGGAAGCGGCTCTTTGGGACAAGTCAACTACTGGACAGGGCAGTGTAACCTGGTGATTCGTGGGAAGCAGTAAAGTTGACCCTGGCTCAGGAACTTGGTACAGGAGCTAGTTGGTGCCTCTGAGATGGGAACTGTGGACGGATTGGGAGTGAAAGGTTTGGAGGCAGGTTCACTTTTTTTTTTTCCGTTTCATTCAGTATGCATTTCCTAAGAAATAGGGATATTCTCTTATATAATCACCAATGGTGCAGTTACCAGTTTTAGGAAATTTAACACTGACATAATATTCATAGTCTAATTTTGTCACTTGACCCAGTAACATCCTTTATACATTTTTCCCCCTCAGTTCAGCATCCAGTCTTGGATACAGTCCTGCACTTTTTGTTGTGCTTCTTCTTTTAAAATAGACCATTCCTCATCTGGGCTTGGTCTGATACTTCCTCATGATCAGATTCAGATTATGCATGCTTGGCCAGAAGACTACCTACATGATGAATCCTTCTCAGGAGATCACATCTGGAGGCCTACAGTGGCCATCTCTCCTGGGTGATGTTGATTTTGGTCACCTAGTCAAGGCATTGTTCAACTTTTCCATTGTATGATGCAAGTCCGTTTGTTACCAAATGCATACGTGCATAAGATTCATAACGTTAACTCTGAGGATTACAATGAGTGTTCGTGTTTGGAACTTATTAGTAAATTGCTAAAATGGTTATGTGGAAACTTTCTCATTCTTTCAAGCCACAAATGGCAGTGTAACTCTCTCCCCGCTGCCCCCCCTTTGTAATTGTAGTATAGTTGCTTTACAATGTTGTGTTAGTTTCTGGTGGCGCAGTGTAACCCTTGTAACCTGTTTTTACTTCTTTGCCATTAAAAACCTTTTAGAAGTAGCAGTGCCACCATGGGTTGATAGTAATGATGAAGAAACAATTCAACAACAAATCTTGGCCCTGTCAGCTGTAAGTATCTCGTGATACCGTGTACTGAAATACTTTCTTCCTATCATGACTTCATCCTTAGCAGAATGTTTTTCTTCTATACAATTTTAAAAATATTTTGAGATGTTAGGAATGTACACATCAACTTTCACTATTTTTTTCAATGTCTTTAAGTTTGCTTTTCTAGTCTGTTTCACAAAATAATTCTTTCAGCCTTAAAAGGATTTCTTTTTGTTATTAAGACAATCTTTTTTTTTAAGACAGTCTTTTGAGATGTGCTATTACGAAGTTTCTAGATAGTATTCTAATTCTTCCGAATGAAATGATCATATTCTAAATTTGCTCTTTAACTACTGTATATATTTCTCTGAAACTGAAAGTGAAAGAAATAAATCTCCATATGCTGCCCCCAAAATATTAGAGTGTTACCACCTAAGAATCATGTAGCACCTGACAGTTTCAGGAAGTACTTTCTCACACATTATCTCTTGAGCCTCCTGGTATGTCTGTGAGGTAGGTAGGGGCTTTTAGCACCACTGCGCAGGTATGGAGACCGATACTCTCAAAAGGGACCCTCACTCCTTATCTTTGTCTGTACTGGGCTATGAACTCTCAGCAGAGGCTGGCTTTGAGCTCTGTCCTCAGCACCCAGCATAAGGCTTTCACTATATCAGTGATTTTCAAGCTTGATTTTTAACCTACTTTTTTTTTAACTAAAGTCATAAATGGAACCTTGGTCTAGAAAACAAATGTAGAGCGGGGCTTTCCCTCCCTTCCACTGCCCCAGGGCATTTAAGATTTTTTTTTCTTCCCATTAGTAAATCCTGACATCACACATCTGCTTGCTTCTCCCCAGAAGGGGGAGACTTGGAGTGTTGGGTGGGGGCCCTGGCCCTATCAGCCAAGGTTCCCCAAGTGACCCAAGGACAAGCCTTTCCTTGCCTGGCACTCTGTGGAGAAGCTGCACTGTCTGTCTCAGTCACCATTGCATTCTCATGCCCTCAGTGCAGGGACTGACCTTCAGAGCGTCCCAGAGATTTCAGGCAGAGCGTAGGCGCATACGTTCCCTCAGAAGGTCTGGGACTAAAGTGTGGTTTGTGCACACTTGAGAAATGACTTGGGTTTTACTTTTATGATAAGACCATCATGGTTAGCTGACTCCAACTTTGGGTTCTTTTATACTAGTTTTCACATACTAAAACAGAAGTCTTTTTCTATGGTTTCAAATTATATAGTTTCAACAAGTTACCTGGTTGAATCTCCTGACCTCTCATGACGCTCTCTCCAGTTGAAACTATTAAAGAATATATGAAAGGATTGATCATTCTCCACTCTCTCTAAGGCAGACAAGTTAATGACAGCTCATTGCACTTGGTGGCTGAAGCATTTAGGGAATTTAATGTGTCATATCATTGATGTGTTGTTACCTATTCATTGCAGTCTATGGTTTCCCCTGTGTTTTTCCTCTTTTTATCCAAGGACAAGAGGAACTTCCTTCGTGACCCTCCAGCCGGGGTGCAGTTTAACTTTGACTTTGATCAGATGTACCCCGTCGCACTGGTCATGCTCCAAGAGGACGAGCTGCTGAGCAGGATGAGATTTGACCTTGTTCCTAAACTGTAAGCATTGGGTTCTCGAGCCTGATGGGAAAGAGACATGGGCTGGGAGCCAGGATGTTCTCAGACATTCTTCATGAAAACGGGCTCTACAGCTCTTCAGCAGTACCCACCTCCCCACCCCCCTCCCCCACACAGTGCCATAGAATCAAAACTCAGGGTGGACTTTTGGGGAATTTTGGAGTACAAATGAGATGTGCTCTTTTATCCCCAGTTAGATGGTGGAAAGAATTTTCCTATGAAAAAAGCACATGCACCTGCACCCTCCTGAATAAAACTAAGATCCCCAAGGTGCATCAGAACATGGCGCTGCCTTTTCTCTACTCGGGCTTCTGTCTGTGGCAGTGGTCTCTTTCTCCTTCCCATCCAAGGCTTCTCCCCTCCACAAATCCCTGCTTGTCCCTTAAGCTCCAGCACATGTATCATGTCTTCTGTGACGTGGTGATCAACAGAGGCCCCCTCCCTTCTCCTCTGCCACCGTGAGTTCTTCCTCACCTTTTCTACCTTCTTTTGAATCTGCCCCATTTTTAAAGTCAGTGGTCTTTGGTGTTCGGTGAGTGTTCCTGTTTAATGCCCCTCTCTCCTAGTGTGATGGGGTTATCTTCCTGTTCTCTGAGGACATGAAGTCTGGCTTTCTTAAGATACCCTTCTCACTCTGCCTTCTCTGCATCTTGACTTTGGGTTCTGTGGTTCATGCTGGTGGCTTCTCTTACCCGTTCTTTGGGGCTATGTGCTCCTCTGGGCCGTTGAGGCGGGGCAGCTCGGTAGCCGTAAGCAGACTCCTCAGCCCGGGCTGGCTGTAGACGGAACAGCGAGTTGAGCCTGAGCCCCGCGGCTTCAGTACAGCCAGGAGCCCCTGTTCTCAGCCGCGCCAGCGTCCCTGAGTGCAGGGACTGCGACTCTTGGTCTCTGCCACTTGATGAAGGTGGTGTCTGCCAGCCTTCTTGACTATAAAGTTACTCCTTTCCTCTTTGAAATTAATAACTATTTTCTGGGGAGGCACTTTGAAACTCTGTAAATACATCATTTCTCCTCAAATTTTCCATGTATTCATATATTTATGTATATCTGTATGGACTCAAGGTCCTGTTTTATGCAATGGTTATAATCCATTGCTATCATTATTTGTTTTGATGCTCAAATCATCACCTATTTGCCAGTGGAAGCCCATTCAAGCTGGCTTCTATGTCTTTTTAACTCATCCTGTTCATTCATTGAGTCCTTCCTTTCTAGCATGAGATAGTCCTCCAGGCTCGCCTTGTACTTCCCCTGCTATGAGCCTGGAATTGGCCGTTTATCCCAGGGGTTCTGGTTCCTTTTAGTGGAAAGTGGTGCGCATTAGGCATGCTCTTTGTTATTGGGGTCTCACTACTCGTTGGCCCACTCAGTGGAAGAGCTATTGTGCTCATAACCACACAGATGCACTTGTTTGCATCTCTATCGAATAAAAACCATATGGTCACAGTGATACTTCACAGCAAGGATCATTCTAGAGTTTTCCCTTTCCATGATTGTAACTCCCTTTTCTGATGGTGAAAAACCCAGTTTCCACTATCCTTAGTATTTTTATTTAAGCAGTCAATCCCCTTGCGAGTGAGCAATCGTCCTTTATCACCACCACCACCTCCCCAGCTTAGACACCCTCCTGTCCCTGCTCAGGCTGTCACTCACCATTCCAGGCCACCGCCATGTGGATGGATACTCACCTTACCCTTCTTGGGTGCCAACACCTCACCCCAGGTGACGAGTGTGCAGCCAAGTTTGAGAACCACTGAAGAGTTCTCAGGTTGAACTGCATGTCAGTCTTTTTATCAGTCATCTGCCACTTCATTACTGTTATTGATTGCTAGTTATATGCAAGCTGCCAAATATGTCCTCTCATAAGGAACAACACCCACAATCCTTTATTCTCACTGCTTGAAAGCATTTAATCCTTTGGGAAACATAATTGGGGGGGACCTGGCTCTACTTCCAGTCTCCCAGGCTGCTCATGGTGCTTTGACAGCAGTCCCCCACTTCCCTCTGCTGAGGGCAGTGTCAGTATATTTAAAACACCAAGAAACACTGAGGATTCATTGGTGCATTATAAACTTTGCTGCTGTGGAGAAGATAGTTTTCTTCTTATCCTATTACTCAGCTTTCAATTCGAAAGCAAGTGAGAATTTCCTTTGAGCCCCATTCCAATTCGAAACTTGTCTGTAAAAACCACCTATTCCAATCTCCACTGCAACAGGTAAGCCCTGCACACATGTATGCATGCATTCTCAAATGCGTTGTTGTTTGTCTTTGAAAGCGTGAAGGAAGACGTGTTTTGGAGGAACTACTTCTACCGCGTCTCCCTAATTAAGCAGTCGGCCCAGCTCACAGCCCTGGCAGCCCAGCAGCAAGCTGCTGGGAAGGAGGAGAAGAACCACGGCAGACAGAATGAGTTGCCGCTGACAGGTATATTCAAGAAGACTTCACTCTGCAGGGCAAATGTCACAAACGTTCCTTCACAAATACTGTGAGATTCTCATGAGCCTGTCATTGTGCACATACCAGAAATGTCATCATCATCTTAGGGAAAGTCCTTTTCCTTCCAGAGAAGATATTCATTCTTCTCTTGTTGCCTTCTCCCTGACCCTGCCCACCGTCTTCCCTCCGTTTTCGTTTCCTTTGCTTTTCTCATTCTTCAGGTTTTTTATTTCTTCCTTTGTATTTCTCCCTCCATCACCAGTCATCTTCCCATCTCTCTCCTTGCCCTTTTCATGCTTTCTGTTCTCTGCTGACTCAGCTCCCCACTTTCCTTTGGTTCTCAGTCTTCCACTCAGCCTGCTCATTTCCCCAGTTCTCTGGTCGGTAGAGCTGAGCTCAGCCAGCCAGCCTGGAACCAGACCTCAGTCGGTGACACATGTGACTCTTCCTTATTGTGGCAGTTTTACCCTGGTTGTTGGGGAAAGTGGTTTATAATATCAGCAATGATTTCATACAGTGGTCCCCAACCTTTTTGGCACCAGGGACTGGTTTCGTGGAAGACAGTTTTTCCCCAGGACCAGAGAGGGGGTGAGATGGTTTCAGGATGTTTCAAGAACATTACATTTATTGTGCACTTTATTTCTAATCTGATGCTGCTGCTGATCTGACAGAAGGTGCCAGTCCATGGGCCAGAGGTTGGGGGCCCCTGACTTAATACCTGTAATAATTATTAAAATAAGATATGTATCTTGTGTCATATTTTTAATGTTTAATGAACACTTGCTTTTTTTGTATAGGTACCTGTTACAACTGGAGACTTATCCATACATGGAATTTTAAATGATTATATAAAACAGTGCATCCTAAGGCACCAGTTGTATGGACCACTAGGAGGGCACCTGACAACTACATTTAGGGTCAGGAAATGTAATGAAGTTGCTCTCACAAGAACATTTAGCACTTTGCATGCAGATGTTAATATGAATCCCAGTTGTCTCTCATACTTCAGTATTTCTTCTTTATTAATTTTATTGGAAAATGCCATTTTACCCAAAACTGCTTGTGTATCAAAATGGGCTTAACAGGAGAGCCGCTGTGACTGAGCGTTACGTTTTATTGATACTTTGTGCTTTCTAGCATTTGGGACAAAAGGAAAACTTAACTTAATTCTCTTTATCTTAAAAGAAAGAGCAGAATTATTCTTCAATGCATTTTGCTAATAATCAAAACTCGTTTCCTACTGGAAACCTTACATAAGGGGTATTAGAATATGATGATATATACTAAACATATCCCCAAAAGAAAGAGGTTGAGATGGTTTCATCTGGGTAGTTCCTATGATAATTACAGAAAAACAGAAAGCATAACATTAAAAACTCATTTCTGAAAATTACTTAGTATCATCATGTGCTCATGAATAATTTAGTTGTTATCATCATATGTATTCAGAATTAAATCAAGCAATTCTTGACTCTCTTCTTCTCACTTCTTAGAGGCAGTACGGCCCAAAACACCACCTGTCGTAATCAAATCTCAGCTTAAAACTCAAGAGGTAATACAGTCTTACATTTTACCTAGTAGTTGATGTCTGGAAATGAAGTAACTGTCAGCTAGCTCAGATACCATTTCAAAACTGCTTATGCATACGGGTCTTATCTGTTCTGAAGAAGAGGGATCCGGTACTTAAAGGGTTAAAGACCTACAGCTGAGACCTGAGGCGATCCTCCAGGACTAGACAGAATGACTAGAGTGATCCAAACTGTGAGTGAGTGGAGAGACTCAGGTGGTCACTCCTGTGGTCAGCGAGCCAGGGTGCAGGTTAGGAGTTAGAGCACAGCAACCATCCGGGGAGGGGAATGAAAGTGAGGCTGCAGTAAGTCATTAGATGACCGTAAACACAAGCTCTAATCTCTGTGTGTCGTTTCAAAAACCATTTCCAGGGCTCATGTATTGCCTTTCAGGATGAAGAGGAGATTTCTACCAGCCCATGTGTTTCTGAGTTTGTCAGTGATGCCTTCGATTCCTGTAACTTGGATCAGGAGGACCTGAGGAAGGAAATGGAGCAGCTGGTGCTGGACAAAAAAGAGGAGGGGACAGTCGCACTGGAAGGTACAGAGCCAACGACATCACTGTTCTCATCCCCAGTGCTGAAGTTGACCTTAGAAAATTTTGTTATTTTGGAGCAGATATACAAAACTAGGTTGTAACTTTTGCATCAAAACTGCTCTGTGTTCCGCACTAGAAGGTGGATTCTGGCACACATGACCAGACTTCCCATTCCTCTGCCCTAAGCACAGAAGCATAGAAAGGAGACCACAGAGGCTAAGTGACTCTTCTGAGGCATCTCAGTGCCAAGGATATGTGGCCAGGAGTGGGCACCAAAGCCACCCCTTCCCATGGAGATGCTGCCCTCCGGCCTTCTGCTTTCAAAGCTGCATCCTGCTGGAATTTATACTGTAGGTTTAAGACTCTTTCCAGCTGCTGTGTGCCACGAGCACATCACTTCTGGGAAGGAGCAGGCTGCCTTTTAAAAACCAAATTAACTTAAGGTGATGTAGGAAAAAAGTGCAAATGATGGGGCTGCTTTCTTTGCCACATCAGGACAGATTGCTGGCTTCCTGTTGGATGACAAACAAAGGCTTCATCATTCATGAAGCTTTCAGAGACTTACCATCAAGGAAGACAGCTGTTCCCACCATTGTGCAGAAAGCACTGGTGATAAAGCTGGCCTCCCAGAGGTGAACCACCTGCAGATCAGGTTCCATCCATATGTCTGTCACTGTCACGCTCTGTGATCTTGGACAAGTCACTTAACCTATAAACCTCCATTTCCCCATCTGTCAAATGTATATAACTGTCTCCCTAGTCCATGGACTGTTCTAAGGTTAAAGAATGATATTCAGAGAGTGCTTAGCCCTCGCCTGGCTGAGTGAGTGCTCTAGAAACATTAGCTGTTTTTGCTGCCAATATTAATTATCAATTATCTATTTAAATAGAAGGAAAATCAGAGGCCTAGGTAAAGGAAAATAACACTCAAAATTTACTGACAACATCTGATACCTTTGCTTCTGCATTTAATAAATGTATCTTTCTTATCATATTTCTCTTCAGTAACAGTTAAAATCTGTTCAGTTTCTTAGCATACACAGTGCTGAACAAAGCCTGAGACAGTAAATATTTCTGTGGTTAGGACGTAACGCAGGTAATTATAGTGGACTGCATTGTTTAGACCACCATGATGAATTCAGAATCTTTTTTTTCTCATTTGTTTCTTTTAGAGGATTCTGTAGATTGGGAGAAGGAACTACAACAGGAACTTCAGGAATATGAAGTGGTGGCAGAATCAGAGAAGCGAGATGAAAACTGGGATAAGGAAATAGAGGAAATGCTGAAGGAGGAAAATTAACTGTCTGTCTCCCGAAATAAAAGAATAAACCTTAACATTCTATAACTGACATTAAATTCTAGATGTTGAGACTCGCTTAATCGGAAGGCACAAAGGAATATAACTTTATTAAATTCAAAATTATTCTTTTTTCAAGCTGAAACTTGCCTCTTCTACTTAAAAAAACAGGACACAGGACATTTATTCTAATCAAAAAAGGATGTTTTAGGTAATGTTCCTTTAATATAAATCTAGTTAGAGATGTTCTTATAGTCAGTACAGACATCTTTCTGGTAGTCAGTACAGACATGTTTCAGAAACATAAAATCTTAGAGTACAATTTTCTGTGAGGTCAAAAATATAATTTATTTTTCAATTGTGGTTTTCTAAACATTTGTACTTCTTGCATTTTTGTTGATACATATATGTTAAAGTACTTAATGGATTAATAACTATCAAAATGACCAAATTGTACCAAGAACTTGAGAGGAAGCACTTTCTGAACTATTTTCTTGCAGATATTTTCTAAAATTCCATCTGGAAGCCAAAAGATAAAATAATTATGTTGATTATAATGAGTAAGCGTCTCATAGTTTGACACTGAGAAATACTGTGTAAAAATTTGTTTTTCTTTGGGGCCTTTTTAAAAAAAATCTATGCCACATTTAATAATGGTTTCCTAAATCTCACATCATGGTTTTTGTAGAAACCAGGGTCTTTCATCCTTTAAGTATCAGTGACTGTCAGAAGCCCCTTCACCTTAAAGTCTCATGTGGTTTAAATCATCTCCACATATAATACATGTTTTTGCTTTTTTGTCTTAATTAAAGGGTCAGTCTTTATAAAATTGTGTTCCCTGAGTACAACTTTTGGAACTTTATTAATCAATCCTCCCTGGATTCTGCACTACTGCAGGACTGTTCACAGAACGTGGTTACTTGAAAAGGATAGATGGCTGAATACCAGAACACTCCATAGTGTTTCCTTCCTGAACCTTGCAGGTTTTTCAAAAAGCCTTTATTTCATAAAGGGGAGCAGAATTAACACAGTTCTTCTAAGAAACATGTGCTTATTTATATTCTTGATCCCATAAAAATTAGTCTACAGACCTCTGGCAGATATAGTCAACGAGAATTAGGTGTTTAGGTTTGTAGTTTGGGATATGCTCCCACAAAGAAACCAGGCTTCCTCAGCTAGAATCACTTGGGTTGTATTTGATGAAACCACTGACACCATTATCAAGAGACTTCCACTTGTGGGTCTGCAATTGCTGATTACTCAGCGGTGGTGTCTGGCAACTTTTGAGGCAATCCTGTTGAAAGGAAAATTTTTAAGGATTTAGAGTTTACTGTAGTGAAACAAATGTTAAATGTTTTTAAGTAGTTAAAAATCCTAGATATAAGCAGCTCAGAATATGACAGTAGTTGGCTCTTAGTATATGCACTCAAATTCTTATTGACAAATGTTGAATAAACATAAAAAAGGAAAGGTTTCAGAGAAAGTTAAAAACCTAGGGCTTCCGTGGTGGCTCAGTGGTAAAGAATCCACCTGCCAATGCAAGAGACGGGTTCGATCCCTGATCCGGGAAGACCCCACATGCTGCGGACCAACTAAGCCCCTGTGCCACAACTACTGAGCCCATGTCCTAGAGCACATGCTCTGCAACAAGAGGAGCCACCACAATGAGAAGCCTGCGTACTGCAAGCAGAGAGTAGCCCCCGCTCATCGCACTTAAAGAAAGCAGGGCACTCTCCAACATAAATCACAGCAAGATCCTCTATGATCCACCTCCCAGAGTAATGGAAATAAAAACAAAGGTGAACAGATGGGAACTGGCTGGACTTGAAAGCTTTTTGCACAATGAAGGAAACTAAGCAAGTGAGAGGACAGCCCTCAGAATGGGAGGAAATAATAGCAAACAAAACAACTGACAATCTCCAAAATACACAAGCAGTTCATGCAGCTCAATACCAGAAAAATGAACAACCTAATCAAACAGTGGGCAGAAGACCTAAACAGACATTTCTCCAAGGGAAGACCTACAGATGGCTAATAAACACATGAAAAGATGCTCAACATCGCTCATTATTAGAGAAATGCAAATCAAAACCACCATGAGCTATGAACTCACACCAGTCGGAATGGCCATCATCGAAAAGTCTACTAACAATGAATGCTGGAGAGGGTGTGAAGAAGGGGGAACCCACTGTTGGAGGGAATGCAAACTGATACAACCACTATGAAGAACAGTATGGAGATTCCTTAGAAAACTAGGAATAAAACTACCATACAACCCAGGAATCCCACTACTGGGCATATACCCTGAGAAAACCGGAATTGAAAAAGACACGTGTACCCCAATGTTCACTGCAGCACTGTTTACAATAGCTAGGACATGAAAGCAACCTACATGTCCATGGGCAGAGGAATGGATAAGGAAGCTGTGGTACATCTACACAATGGAATATTACTCATTTATAAAAAGCATTTGAGTCAGTTCTAATCAGGTGGATGGACTCAGAGCCTATTATACAGAGTGAAGTAAGAAAGAAAGACAAATACCATTTATTAACGTATATATATGGACTCTAGAAAGATGGTACCTACGATCCTATGTGCAGGGCAGCAAAGGAGCCCGCACGCATAAGTAGCTTCAGTCATGTCCGACTCTGTGTGACCCTAGGGACTGTAGCTTACCAGGCTCCTCTGTCCAAGGGATTCTCCAGGCAAGAATACTGGAGTGGATTGCCATTCACTCCTCCAGGGGAGCTTCCTGACCCAGGGATCATAGCTGTATCTCTTCTGTCTCCTACCTTGGCAGGCAGATTCTTTACCACTAGCACCACCTGGATCTTACATACAGGGCAGCAGATGAGACACAGAAGTAAAGAACAGACTTTTGGACTCAGTGGGAGGAGAGGGTGGAATGATTTGAGAGAACAGCTTTGAGACAGATACATTACCATATGTAAAATAGATAGCCAGTGGGAATTTGATGTATGAAGAAGGGCATCCAAAGCAGGTGCTCTGGGACAACCTAGAGGGATGGGGTGGGGAAGGAGGAGGGTTCAGGACGGGGGGACACATGTATACCTATTGCCCATTCATGTTGATGTATGACAGAAACGATCACAATATTGTAAAGTAATTATCCTCCAATTAAATAAATTTTTAAAAACCTGTGCAGCAACAAAGACCCAGTGCAGTCATAAATAAATAAATAATATCTTAAAAAATTAAAAACCTAAAATGAAAATAGAAATGTTAGTTGTTGCTATTAGTTTTACATGAAACTCTTAATGCTTAATTGTGTTACCCTGTGAAAATAAAAGGATAAAATAAGATGTTATACACAGCGTATAAGTAGACTAACCAATTGCACCAATAGAGCTCCTATAGGCAGCATAAAAATACAGTTAGGCTACAGTTTTATGGATCCCATCAGTGGGTGAAATGTTTTGCTTTTGTAAATTACACAGGTAACTGAAGTGTTATTCTTTTTTTTTTTTTTCTTTTCTTTTTCTGGCTGCACTGTGGGGCTTGCAGTATCCCACTTCCTGACCAGCGATTGAACTTGGGGCCACAGCAGGGCAAGCTCAGAATCATAACCACTAAGTCATCAGGGAATTCCCCGAACTATTGTTCTATTAAAGGAAAAAATAATTTTAACCTGTTTGATGGGAAATTTTTCAGTATTTATTATAAGCTTGGGGGTCAGCCGACAAGTTATACTGTGCATAAAAATACATGAGCTTCACGAGAGGGAGTTTCATAAAAGGAAACAGAATTAAGGGGTTAGATAGGCAGGGGCGCAGGCCCCTCCCTTCCCAGACCTGCTGGCTCAGGATCTGTCGGGGTACCAATAACCCCGGGGATTAGAATGGACCCCACGAACTGAGAGAAGGAACTGGCAACCCACTCCAGTATTCTTGCCTGGGGAGTCCCATGGACAGAGGAGGCTGGTGGGCTACAGTCCGTGGGGTGGCAGAGTTGGACATGACTGAGCGAGCACGCAGGAGTTGACGGGCGCTGCACCAATGCACTGATGCGCTCAGGGCAACAGAACCTTCTGGTGCTTTTTACTCTTCCTGGAGCATCCTCAGCTGACACTGGCTTTCTAGTTGCGGGTGCCTCCAGTTGTCACCCGTTGCCCACTCCCCTTTCCACAGGCCCAAATTAAGAGGATCCGAGTTCCCAGGGGGACAATGAATAATCCTGCTAAATCAGATATTTCTCACAGCACATTTCAGAGTGTGCGCTCTACCAACCACAGAGGCAAGGCTCTCTGAGAACCACGTTACATTTTCACGAGCTTTCTCTGAGGTTCTCGGGCGGTATCTAAGGCCTGATGTGCCCACCCTGAAGGCTGGATGATGTGTTTATGCACATAAACCTAAATAACAAAAACCATTTAAACGGTAAAGAGAGCATCGAACCGTACTAAGTCTTTATAGCCTACTTTAGGTGCATGGAGTCAATATTACACAAGAATGAACAATATCCGTCTATTTTGCGATTACAGCAGTTGATGGCAAGTAAGTCAAACCCTCAGCTGACCTTGCCAGTCTCAGGAGGCTGTGCGCTGCTACCACGCGCGCGTCCCAGTGGCAGAATCTCCTATATGCAGAGGTGCTAACTTACACAAAGTGACGAGTCTCAATGTGTCATATCCGAAAATTTTTAAAGCTTTTCTTTTAGGAGATAAAGCAAGTGTTGGTACTCATTGTGCTTTCAGATGCCCCGTTATAACCGAGATGGTTTTGCACAATCAAAATAATGTTACAGTGCTAGAAGCTTCAATAGCGCATATACTAAACTCGAGTGATACAGAGATTAGCATGGCCCCTGCGGCAGGGATGACAAACAAATTTGGAGACGTGTTCCATACTTTTTACAATTTTGAGCATTAAAAAAAAAATAATAATATTATGAATAGGATTCACAGAATATTTTTAAAGTTTACCAAAAGAAAACAAGCTTACATCCAACTTGCAACTTTTTATTTGCCTTCTTGACTGCTT